TGTATGTATGTCTCCTGCAACCTAAAAGACAAACACTGAAAGTGTGTGTGCGTGTGTGCAGCTGTGTTTGTATGTATGGGTGAAGTGGGGGGATATTACGTGATGCAAATACTATGAAGAACTGTGGCTGGATGGGCAATATTATACTCACCCACTTCCAAATTTTGACTATTCATGCTGGACCAAGGAGCCTTTTTGTGAAGGGCCATATACATATTTTGGAGATATAGGTCCTGTTGGCTCAAAAACATTTGTGTCCATAAAGAAGGCAGTAGCTTAAATAATGAAGTTCTTTCACCCCAAATCCTGACTGGGAGCTGAGTATTCCAACTGGACCACATAGCTGTAATTCTTTCCATCTGTGATGAGATTCTTTGTTAGTCTGAGTAGTTTCCTGTGGGAATAAGACGTTCATTAATAATGTCTTAGCTGGGGAAAGGAGGTACATGATTTGCTAAAGCTGGACTTTGGGGATGCTACACATAACTCTCTTCCTCGGGCTAGCATTTTAAAAAGAACTGATGTGTACACATGGGTGTGGTATTTATACTACTTGAAGCATTTGGTGAATACTTCAACCATTTTGTCTTTAGGCCAATATTTTACTAATTAAACTATGAATCACTTCTGCAATGCCTCATGGCCCAGAAAATGTCTGTCTATAGATACTTCCTTCAGTCAGCTGGCAGGTAAGTATTTCTCTTTGACCCAGAGCAGTGTATTTTCAGCTAAAATGGGAAATTTATAATCAAACTGGTAAACTGCATTTCCCTATAATGTGTTTGCACTGTCTTGGAAGAAACACAGCTATAAACAGTGAACAATTTAGAAATGGAAAACTATTAACTGTCTGAAGCATGCAAGTCCGGTCTGTTTGAGTGACAGTGAATGAGGATACTTGCTGTTTGAAATGCTTATGTACTGACTTTGATTGGATATTGCAGTCTCCTAAATTGTGGCAGAACTCACAACTGCTCTATCTGTCTAACAAAAAAACCAAACAAACTAGGAACTATAATCAATTTTGATAGATGTTAGCTGTCTTTCAGATTGGTGGCAGTCAGTTATGTGTGTAATATTCTCTACCTGGTTTGTAGCTGTAACTGTGATGTACAGGAAAAGCAAAAACTAAGAAGCAAACAAAAACAGAAGCCAATAATGCAGTGATATTAGGATAAACATTTTTGTATTTTTATTCTTATAAAGTTATTTGCTGGCTCGCATTGGCCTCTAGTTCAGTCTGTGTTATTTAAATTCTAATATATGAATTATTTGGATTGAATTCATGTTCGGGGCCATGGTGTTGTATGTATTGATGTACAGCCTTGAATGTGAATAATTATTGTAAACTATTTTACACCTTTCTCTGGCTTTATTATATAAATTTTCTATTGGTCGATGATTTAATCATATCTCATAATTTAAGGACTGTTTGTTCTCCGCCCGACAGCTCTCTGTGCTGTAGATGTAGCTAGTGACTGGATGATGAATTTTCACTTATGCTCGATAGTCTTGTAATAAAAGCATGTAGGGTCCTAGGCCCTGGGCTCCCGCCTCTTTTTCTGCGCCGCGCGCCTGTCCGCTAGGAACCGGGGGCAGGTGCAGCCTCCGGCCCCTGCCCGCCGAGCGAGGCCTGGCGCGGCCCCCGCAGCAGCCGGCTGAGGGGCCGGGCCGGGCGAAGGACGAGCGCAGTCCGCGGGTACTTCCGGCGGATGTCACGTTAGTGGAAGCCGGGATGGGGGAACGCCTGCGAAGGGAACAGAAATCCGAGCGGACACTTCCTGTCTCGAGGAGCGGGGGGGAGGGGAGTGTGGGAGCTGGAGGCCCGGTGGCAGCCGCGTGCGTTGGCCGGCCCGGGTCGATGCTCTCCGGGGGAGGGGCGAGGGAACGGTGAGTCTCCAGGACACGCACTTCCAGCTACGGCGTTATGGGCTGGGAACTACCTGCCATGAGGATTGGTATCTGCCTGACCACTTCCGGCTGGAAGGGGGTGGGGAGTCGGTATTACGAACGGATACTTCCGGTAGGACGGTGCGCGCGGAGGGGGTCGGGGGACCGTTATCCGGATTGGACCCTTCCGGCGCTGCAGCGAGGATGGCGGCGGAGAATCACTGCGAGTTCCCGGTTCCCTCCGTGGGCGGCCTTGGCCTAGTGGGGACAGGCGGGCCCTGCCGCCGCTGTAGCTCTGGGCCCTCCCCGGGAGGGGTCCCAGGTAAATGGGTCCGGCTGAACGTGGGGGGCACCTGCTTCCTCACCACCCGGCAGACGCTCTGCAGGGACCCCAAGTCCTTCCTCTTCCGCCTCTGCCAAGCCGACCCCGACCTGGACTCGGACAAGGTGAGACCGACAGAGGGACCCCCGTGATCTGGGACAACCCGCGCGGGCCGTGGGGGTCCCTGTCTTCTCGCATTCGGGTAGGCTAGGCCGGGCCCCTCCCTAGACTCGCCACAGGGGGGATTGTGGGGCTGGGACCTGCTTGTTCTGGGGGGAACCCGGCCCGCCCTGTGATGGCTTGGTAAGAGTCAGGTTTCTTCTTTTTACCACTACCACCCCATCCTGGGTCCAGGGCGAGAGAGACACCTACGATCCAGTCAGGTGAGAGAATGGTTCCGTATGCCCCCCTTTAGATTGAAGAGAATCTCGTATCGTTTAGCAGAAAGTATGAGGTTTCATTTCTTGGGAACAGGTATGCATTTATTTTCTTTTTTTCCTTTTCTTTGGTAGTCTTATTTATGCTAACAGATCATTCAGGGGTGTTTGCAGTACCATAATCAGAGGAATCCTTTAAGATTATGTAATATGAATATACTGTTCTGAAGCTGTTCAATAGTTGATTGTGGGGGTTGGAACAGGCCAATTCCTACAGACTACCCATATAGTTAATTGGTTTAGGTTCTTGTACCACACCCATGACCATTTCTATTGACGTGAATCTCTTAAAAGGAGCACAAGATCTGTATCTATTTGAATTTCTGGGTCACTTTTATTTATTGAGTAAGCTTTTATTTGCCATGATGCATAGATGTTTTATTTAAATCCTGTCATGTTAATTTTGCATTGTCTTGATCCCATAGTTTACAATTTGTGAATTCTGAAACTGAGCTATGCCATTGCTGTACAAAAGAGTACATTGAATACAAAAGGAAAAAAAAGCGTATTAGAGACAAAATCCAAAAGGCTAAGGCACTGAATGAGTAAGGGGGGAAAAGGGCAATAAGAAGAAGTTCTATAAATATATTAGAAAAAGGAAAGCATAGATCCGTTTACTTAATAGGGAAGGCTTTTTTTTGAGGCTTCAGTCTTCACTGAAAATGTTGATTGTGACCAGATGCTTAACACAGTTAATATTCACAATGTGGGAAGGATCTCAGATCAAAATAGGGAAAGAACAAGTTTAAAGAATATTTAGATAAGTTAAATGTATGTAAATTGACAGAGCCGGATGAAATTCACCTTAAAGTACTTAAGAAACTAGCCAACGCAATCTCTGAACTTTTAGCAATTGTCTTTGGGAGCTAATGGAGGAAGGTTGAGGTACCAGAGGGCTGGAGAAGGGCAAACATAGTAGCTATCTTCAAAAAGGGAAAAAATGAAAGCTGGGCAATTATAGACATGTCAGCTTAAGTTTGATAACCAGAAAGTTACTGGAACAATTTATTAAACAATCAGTTTATTCTAACCTAAAGGATATAAGGAGATGAGTAGTAGCCAACATGAATTTATCAAGAACAAACCATGTCAAACCAAACTTATTTTCTTCTTTGATAAGTTAACTGACTAGTGGCTAGAGAGCAGGGCCGGCTCTAGGCACCAGCAAAGCAAGCAGGTGCTTGGGGCCGTAAATTTGCAGGGGCGCAAGAATCCAGCATGGGAGCTGAGAACCAACAGGGGGCCCTGGGACCTGTAGTTCCTTGGTTAGCTCCCAGCTGTGGGCTCTCCCCCCACCCACACCCCCTGGTACCCAGCTCTGGCCCCCACCCGCACCCCCTGCCGCCCTGGCCCCCACCCGCATCTCCTGCCACCCCAACCCTGGGCTCTTCTCCCCCCCCTGCACCCGCACTCCCTGCCGCCCCAGCTGTGGCCCCCACCTGCACCTCCTGCCACCCCAGCCCTGGGCTCTTTCCCCCACACACACACACCTCCTGCCGCCCCAGCCCTGGGCTCTTCCCTCTCCCTGCCGCCCCAGCTCTGGCCCCCACCTGCACCTCCTGCCGCCCCAACCTGGGCTCTTCCCCCTCCCCGCACCCGCACCTCCTGCCGCCCCAGCCCTGGGCTCTCCCCCAAAGAAAGAATTGGGTGGACTAAATGGACAGTGCACCTCTCTATCTGAAGCCTAGCAAGGGAGGTACGTGGATCCCACTAGAATTTAAAATGAAAAGTAAGGGAGGGGAGGCTCTACTAGACTGGGCAGCTTTAGATACAGTACCAGGCACGTAGGAGGATTTACACTTCTGAGCCATGGAAGCAGAAATTGACTTTTCTTTTCCAGATTTAGCTAATATTCAGGAAGGGAATCCAGCACCTGCCTTCCAGATTTGAACACCCTCAAAATTCAGGAGTGCTCAAGCTCAATTTGGGTAGCTGTTACTTCATTTCTCCCAAATCAAATATACTGATCCACTGTAACTTGCTGTAGAAAAAGTAGAATAAATTGAGCAAGAAATGCTTCCCAGTGGTTATTAGAACTTGAATTGCTATTTTCAACAGCCATTGCTTTTTTTTATTATTATTATTTAAGTTTTAGTTTTATTTGTTTAAAAGGAAGACAGTGATATTGCATTGGCAAATTCCCCTTAGAAACAAAGAATGGAACAAAAGAATAATAAAGGCACCTCAACTTTTCCTCATTTATGTAGGACAGTCTTATAATATGCATCCAGATAGCCTTCAATCACACAAGCTGAAAATTGTTCCACTTTACTGCAGTTCTGTAACCATATGGGAACCAATCCTGTCTGTGTTCTGTGCACATCCAAAATTCCTGCTGAATGACCCGCCCTGGGAGCAAGTTACCAGTGACCCAGGGCTGGGGCGGCAGGAGGGTGCGGTGTGTGTGTGGGGGGGGAGGGGCAGCCAAAATTTTTTTTGCTTGGGGCAGCAAAAAACCTAGAGCCGGCCCTGCTAGAGAAGAAGCAGTAAATGGGATATATACAGTCTTTAGTAAGCATTTGACCCTGTCCCATATGACAGTTTCATAAACAAACTAGGGAAATGAAATTTAGATGGAAATACACCTCTACCCCGATATAACGCAACACGATATAACACGAATTCGGATATAATGCAGTAAAGCAGTGCTCCGGGAGGGGGAGGGGGGCTGCGCGCTCCGGCGGATCAAAGCAGGTTCGCTATAACGCGGTTTCACCTATAACGTGGTAAGATTTTTTGGCTCCCGAGGACAGCGTTATATTGGGGTAGAGGTGTATTATAAAATAGCCTTTGAACCAGTTAGGCACCTATTTCCAAAGAGATATCAATGGCTTGCTGTCAAACTGGGGGATATATGTCTCTCTTGGGTCCACACTGTTCAGTATTTTCATTAAAGACTTTGATAGAGTGGAGAGTATGCTTATGAATCTGTTATTGTGATGTTTAAACCATTTCTTTGCCTGAAATGTTGCAAATTAGTAATTTGTGTGTCGTTCATGACAAGATGATAGGGTGCTGCTAATCAAACTATTATGTAAGAGCACAGGCTATCAGATCTCGGTGTGTTAATCTCTAATAACACACATGTGTTATCTCATTGCTGTGTACTTTGGTTCCACTCACCACTCCTGGGGGAGTTCTGCGCCACTCTGTGCATGCATAATTAATGAGCAGTGCATATTTTTAATTTTTTGCGTAGAAAAAAAGCTGCTGGAAAGTTGCTTCAGTCCTGCCTTTTGCCCACCAGGGGGCACTATGGCGCTAGAACAGAGCAGCAGCAGCAGCTCCTGGCCAGCTAGGGAAGAGAAAGAACCTGCCTTCTTCACGGCGACTGTTAGGCCAGGTCGGGAGACAGACAGACTGTGGTGCTGCTGGGGGCTCAGATGGGGCTCATAAGGGCTAGTGGGGGAGGACAGACTGGGGCAGAGGCTGAATGGGAGTGGAAGCACAGGGCCACGAGGGGAGGGAGGCCCAGGGCCACATGGGGACGGGAGAGGGGGTGCTTGACTGAATGGGAAAGGCTAGGGGTCGGCCAGGGTCTGCATGGAGGAAGCTCCCTAACAATCCCCCCCCCCGCACCCTCTCCCCCCTAAAAAAAATCTGTTCCACACTTTTCCCATTCATACCAACACCCTCCAAGTTCACACCCAGGCTCCTTCCCAGCAATTACTTCCCTCTCCCTCAGCTCCTCCGTTACCCCTGACTCCCCCAAGCCTTTGCATTACTTCGGAGGGGTGTGGGAAATACAGTTCTGTATTTTACTTTAAATGAATTATTACTTAGAATTCTGTATTTATATGCCTAGTAAGGAATCTGTTTGTCAAAAAACATTTCCTGAATCTTTTTTCTTGTCTGTATTGTTACAGACATACTTACTGACAGGTATTTTGAAATAAATGACCAAAAATAATTGAAACTGGTGTGATTATATTGTGTTGTTTTGACAAATAAAATAGGCAGAATTTGAAAATACTGTGCACAGATTTTTTTTGTTGCAGAATTTTTATTTTTTTGGCACAGAATTCTCTCAGGAGTAACTCACTAGTTAAAGAAGGTTGAAGTCAGGCTGAAATTGAAGATGAGAATGTAGGTCTGAGAGGCCTTTTTCAATTTGACAGTGACTGGGCAGTTTGTAAAATGGATGTAAAATAGACAACTAGTTATCTTGTACTTAGCATTACATTGTACACTCAAATATGACATTTATTTCTAAAGATCAGAAAGATTTTGAGTATTTTGTACATATATAAGGGATGAACATTTTTAGTAAAGGACAGGAAATATGGGAGAAATTACAGTAGTTGTGAAAATCCAGCTTTGAGAAGATCCTGCTCTTAGGATATGCTTGTAGATAGCACCACAGCCCAGAAATCTATGGAAAATGACTATAAGTCTCTACAAATCTATAAGTATTTACATGGGGAACAAATATTTAGTAATGGGCTTTTCAATCTAGCAGACAAAGGTATAGGATAATCCAGTAGCTGGAACTTGAAGCTAGACAAATTCAGATGGGAAATAAGGTAAATTTTTAATGGTGATAGTAATTACTGAAACAGTTTACCAAGGGTCACAGTGGATTCTCCATCACTGGCAATTTTTAAATCAAGATTGGGTATTTTGTAAAAGTTCTTCTCTAGGAATTATTTTGGGGAAATTCTATGGCTTGCCTCATAGAGGAGGTCAGA